AAAATAAAATATTTTTACCCACGGTTACATGTTTCTATGAAAAGTTCTATTAAAATAGTAAATAATATTATATTCTATATAGTGTAAAATAATATTTTTTTTAAATGAAAAATTCTATTAAATTTAATAACTCATTATATTGTATATCATATAGTGTACAGTAAATATAATTAACATAAACAATTAATAAAAAAATAATAAAAAAAAATAAACAATTAATGAAAAGAATTGCTTGAAACAAATAATTTAAGAGAAAACAATCGAACAAAATAACCTACACTTGGTTAAATCAAATTTTACTCAAAAAATTAAAAGAACATATTCTTTTTTATCATTTTACTCAATTAAGTTTTATTCACTACTACTAAAATTTAATAGCAAATATATATTACCCTTAATTTAATAGCAAAAAGAAATTAGTTATTTCTTAAGACTTAAACCCTAAATTTGTTGCACTAAATTAAAATCAGTAATAAAAAATAGTTAATATATTACTACGATTAAGAGTAGGAGTTGTCTAGGGTCCGAGAGGGTTGTACTTCTCGGACCATAATTAACCAATTAAAAAACTGCCACATCATATAAGTACGTACCCAAAAAAAAATAAAAAATACAAACCCTGGTATATATAAGTAAAAGTATGAAAAAGCCCCCTTTTAATTAAAAGATTTAAATGGGAAATTAATAATCTAAACCTTAATAACAAATCAACAAATTTGAAATCATATTAAATGAAGAAAAACATTTTGTAAAACTTTAAACCTAATTCCATTGTTCTCATTTATATATCATCGATCGTTCTTTTTCCAGGAAAGAGAAAAATCATCATCATTTTTTTATAAGAAAATTCATCATCGATCGTTAATTCCCTTTCTAGAAAACTTCTCTGGGGCAAGAAATCATCGTGTGTACAAAATTGGTTCTAGCAATTTCATATTATTTTTGAATTCCTTAAATCTATTTGGTTGATATACGTACTCGGTTTTAATGCATGCCTAGCTATACACCCTATAGCACCCACAACATCTTCCAGTCTCTCGATCTAGCGTGGGAAATGCACCGGATCTTTCCTATGAACTTCTTTATTGTATTCGAGCAAAGACACTTGATAAATTCTACATCAGTTTGTGGTTCGACGATATTTTGTAGCCACTGTCATATATTTCCGTTGTTTTCTCAAGTGTTGTAAATTTATGTTGCTGTTTTGTTTTTGGTTAAATAACTATATGTTGTTGGACAACCTTTTATTTATTTATTTATTATAATATCAAAATAAATAAGAGTTGTTTTGGCTGTTCTATTATTTGAATTGCTTCTGAACATTTTGTTAGTGTAGAAATTATTTGAATTGCTTCTGAACATTTTGTTAGTGTAGAAGAACATGCCATTGCAATGAATTTTGTTATACTCAATATCACAAGTTTGTGCAGAAAAATAAACCTGGAGATCTGAGAATCATTTTAGCAACCAACTATGGACTCCTTTTTTTGTATCAGATAATAAACTGTTAAATACAAAAACATGGAAGAATAAACGAAATCTGAAAATAGTGTGGCCATGCACAACAATCGTAGTGAAAGAATTAAAAGAAATTTATAAAAAAAAAAAACAATCATTCTTGTACAAACTTGGCCATGCGAAAGGCAACAGCATATGCAATAGCTCCTATGAGAGCGGTTTACGGAGTGCTCCTTTCGCATAGTCAAATATAGGAATCTCTCCCATTGTGACATCAAAATAGAGATCACCAATTAAATGTGTATGTTGATTATCTAGGGATTAAGAGGTTAAGTAATTTCTCGTAATACTAGAAATAAAATAGTTTCATATTTAATCAGTGATGAAACAAATATTTCACTTTGTCCTGTTCAACACATGCCGGATGTGCTAGCACAATAAGTCAAAACGATAACTACAAAAGTTATCCTCTGTTTACCGTGATCAAGACCAATCACTAAAATATTGTGCTACAATCATTTGCCAATGGTTAGTCCAATTCCATATTTAATTTTTATATTCTAAACGAACTTTCGAAATGATCTTTCTGTGCGCCGTAGCATACCATTTCGAATACTATTAGAATAATAGACTTGTACGTTTAATTAATTGACAATTAATCAATATCTAATTAAAATTACTAGAAACACAAATGCATTAATTCTCATAAATGACTGAAATGAATAAAGTTTATTCAAAAATTAAATAGTTCATCTAGATAAAAGCAAGGCTTTCCGTCTATTATCCTAACACCATGCCCACCGTACCAAAAGTTTTCTCGCCCCCTTCAACCGGATCTCGAAGTTTAATTCGCAAAGATTTAGGCTTACCTGGGTTCGACATGAGAAATATTTTTTCCCGAAGAAACAATCAAGAAACAAAAAAATTTATACTCTAGCGCTATAGGATAAAAGAAGAAGAGCAAAGAAGAAAACCTAAAGTTAAAAATACATACCCATATTTATTACGCAGAAGTTGAAGTTTAATTCTTTCCACCACAAAAGGAGTCTATTAATTTGGCCGGGGTATATAATTCAAAGCCCTTAAATATATACCTCGCTGCCAAATAAACACAATTATCCCTTATTTAAATCACGGAGATCAATTCAACGCCAACGGAAACTATTCAAGCCACGACACAATTAACTCTCGACACGAGCCGGACATAACTCCCATCTCGACTCGAGAGTTGGGGGCTTAATGATATACCCAATTGGGCCGACCCAATGGGCCCAAATTTATTTAATAATTAGGCCCAATATACGAAAGCCAATCACCTACAATTAGGCCCACTACACGAAAGCCCAAGTACTTTCAAAGTAAGGCTTGGGCCCAACAAAGTAAGCCCAACCCAATCAACAACATATAGATAGATGTTTTACTCATTTGTAAAGGTACGTTTTATTATTCACCAACAATCTAGAGTTTAATTCTCTCTACCATCTCCACGATCCGTATACCTGACTTGAGCGTCGGAGGGGTTTCCGCCGGATCAACCCCCGGCTTAGTTCACGTGTGTTCATTTCGCAGGGACCTCAGGATCATCAAGTTGTCAAGCTACTGATCCGCTTTGCTCTCCCAACTCGTTTTCTACACTACCCCAGGTGATCTAAACTTTAGCATCATCAGATATGAAACCAAAAATACCACCTCCCAAATTCCAAAACCGAAGATCAAAGTATTAACTTTGAAGAAACTTACCAAAATTATATGTGTTGCTCGATTGTGATGTTCCAACTCCACAAATGTTAAAAAAAATTGCGGAATTAGGGTTGGACGATCTTGCTGTTATGGACTTTCACCTCAATTTGAGGCTTCATACGGAGAATTTGAGAGTAGGGTTTCTGCGTTCGGGTTCAATGAATTAGGGGTAATGAAAAATTAGGGATTTTAAAATTAAAATAACTCTTAAAAGAGGGAAGTGCAGTGTTTAAAGTAAAGTACTAGGGATTGAATCATATGTGAAAGTATGAAAAAAAGTATTTTCGAGCAAAAGCCCCATAATAAAGTTCTCACTTTTAATTGTGAATTACAATTATCTTTTGAGCCGATTGTGTGTGGGGTTTATATTTTAATTTAGTCAACTAATCCAAACAAAATCCAGGAGTGTATAAAAGACTAAAATATTCTCTCTCATTTTAATATACTCCAATTTCATCTATTTACTCAAATTTTACCATAATTTCACTAATTATTCGATTTGACTCTAATTTTGACCTCTATTCACCGGGCGTTGATTTTTTTTTTTCCAAAATATTTCTTAGCACTGATAAAAACAATAATACTACTGCGGTTGACAGTAAAATTAACTATATTATTGTTTAATACTGTAAAAGAATTTTAGCAAAAAAAATTCAAAAAAAAAAATTATTAAAAAAAAATTAAAAAAAATCCAACGTTGCGGCATTCATAATTGGTTAGAGATCAAAATTGAATAATTGGAGTGAAATAGGGATTAAATTGAGATTTAGTGAATGAAATTGAAGTATATTAAAAATTGGAGGAGTATTTTAGTCTTTTGACATTTTGCCATATTTGTAATCCCAGTGCTTCTTTTCTCTAAACTCAAATTCTATTATGAATTAGAAAGTAGGTAAGGAGCATGATTTGAACATGAAGGGATTTATAGAACACGAGTTTATTTTATTATAGTAAATTATTTTAGATGTCCTGAAAAGAAACATGAAACGGAAATTGTAGAATTTCAACTTTCTATCTAGAGTGAATAAGATGTTGCACACAAGGTTAAATATATTTGCAAATAATTACTATAAAATTTATCATTTTTGATACCTGATAAGCAAGCATCGCACGTCTTATATTTTCCTCCCTCTCCTCAATCAGACAATTAGAAGACCATATTTCATCGCAAAACAGTAACAAAATTCAAAATAAATATTCGAGGTAAAGATTGTGAATTTCTTTGGTCACACAATAGTAACAAGAAATGCAGAGTAAAGATATTGGTGAATGTTGCAGGCCACAAACATAAAATAGACGATCTTGATGAAAACACGTAATAGAGGCCCAAAGTACATGTAGCAATTCAAAAGAAACAGTGTTTGTTCAATATAGACGGCATCAAGAAACTTTACAACAACTTATGATTATGCAACCAACCCCTATACAAATCTAACTTCACATACGCTGGATCCTCGTTGAAATGCCGAGATATTCTGGAGCATATCAATCTTCTCGTAAGGATTAAGGGAACAGTAATAAACTACTTCCATCCTCTTCAACACTTTAGCATTCCTCAAAAGATATTTTATAATTTCAAACTCGAGTCTTTTACCTTTGATGCCAACAAGCTTTGTAGTACTAAGACGTGATAATAGGCATGCTGGCACTTGTTCGGGTTCCATCCAGCCTTTTACTTCTTTATGTCTAGGAACCTGATTATATCACCATTAATCATCAATCAAGAAAAGAAAAAAAAAAAAAGGCTTCTACTTACACAACACATTACAATAGACACAACAAGAGAAAGAAAAAAAAATTGATTGCCTCAACAAACCTCGTGTAGAATAAGGATTTCAAGATTATCAGCATCTTCAAGGAACTTCAAAAGAAAAGGGCAATCACTAGCCAACTCGAGTTTGACTAAGTTACGAAAACTTATTGTCCGCTCAGAGAATGCTGATTGGATAGTCTGGAAAGACACAATATAAGATTACCATGACTAAACAAATATTCATTAAGCTGAAAAATGATTTAATGCACACCTTTGTATAACATGATAATTGTAATTTTAGGCACTTGACGTTACGGAGCCTATCAAATAATTTCACCACAGATCGAGCATAAATAAAATCATTGATATAAGCCTTAATATCGATATCTGCTTCAATTAAGGAGTTTAGCGCCCCACATTCGATATGTTTGGCTGAGTCATCAGCCAAATGGAGATAAACAAGGGCGGGGGTTTTAATCTCCAACTTGTAGTTGCAGCAGTATTCTTCGTTGTCAGAATCCTCACCGTTATAATGAAGATGGACGAAGAGCCTTTTAATTGTGGGAGAAGATATATTAAAAGATTCGTAATCGGTGTTTGAGTGGATTAGCAACTCCTCGAGCGCTGGACAGCCGGAGAGAAGGTGTGGAAGGGATTCGTTGCCCTCGTATTTGACATACATTAGATGCAGCCTCTTAAGGCGGGGCAAGCACATGACATTCCCTACGATGGGGATTGCACCGAAAGATTCGATGCTGAAATCAACTAGGGTTTTGCAGGTGAAGAGGCCGGGAGGCAAATGAGCGTGATAATCGAGACAAATATCGATATTCTGCACACTCCGCTCAACTGCAAAGGTAACCCATTTCCCAACTAGATCATCTTTGTCACAGCCAATCTCAACGGTAAGACGAAAGGTGTTAATAGTTTGCAATTTATGCAGCAATAAAACCCTATCGATATCTCCATCTCCTACCTAGTAAGCTGGTTCTTAAGGAGATCTTGGTTGTTGGGAGAAAAGAGAGAATGTGACAGAGGATCAATTGAGAGATTCCGGCGGCTCCGTATGGTGTACTGTTTTGCTACCTCCATTAGAAAATGGGAGAAGGGGGATTTCTGGGTTGAGAGAACAACTACGGTAGTGATGGCATCTCCAACGTTTGCTCTTTTGGACTGCTAAAAGTTAAATTACATGATACATAGCTGATGGGAACAAAAAATCCAGCTCCAACGGGCCAGCTAAAATTTTGCATGCAATGTATAATTAGAAGCCCAACTGCTATCAATAGCTGATACTGTACATGGGCTGGTAAATATAATAAAATAATGAAAAAGTATCTCAATTTTGGAGAGAGACAAAGTGGGCCACACCACTTTCCTTTAAATAAATAATATAATATAATAAACATGTATAATATAGATGTTATGATTGGATTAGAAATGATAAAAGTAAGAAGGCAAAAACACTATTCACAAGCTAAATACAATTCAAAAAAATTCTAAAATCCATAATTTCTTCCCTGTAATTTTTTCTTCGTGGAACCGCCAGTGCATCCCAAATTTCTTCCCAAAAAATATGAAGAAGATGAATAAGGCATGTGCGGAGTGATTTGAAATGAGATAGCCACTCTAGTATAACTGTTTTTGGGGCTAACACCGGCCGTTAATTTTTATTTTTTTTCTGTATTAAAATTTTTCCGTTATTGAGATGCGTTGACTTTTTTTTTTTTTTTTTACTTTGTTTATGATATTATTTTCTCGCCGATTATCAGCTTTGAATATTTTTAAAATTATATTTTTCCCTTACTCAACAATTTAATAAAAATAAAATAAAAATCAAGAAAAAAATATCAACGATGTTAATCCGACATTCAACATCGGTCAACAACGGCAAAAAAAGATCAATCGAAAAAAGAGTTAACCGAGTTAAAAACAAAGTCAACATCGCATTACCAAATTTTGAAAATCGGGGTCAGTGGTTAAATTGATCAACTGATG